TCTACATACCGATGAATATAGCATTCTTGAGGAACTGTAAGATCTTGATATAAAACCCAGGACAAACAGGATGGGGCTTCAGTGACCCCTTGTGGCATTATCATCCAGGTATATTGTTGATTTTTCCAAGTAAAGATGAATAAATATTGATTCTTGCTGTCAACTGGGATGCTGAAGAAAGCAGAGCAAAGACCCACCACTGTGATCCACTTTACACTAGATAACAAGGTGTTGAGATTTGGAACGACAGGGAACCTTCAGATCACAATTTTATTGATTGCATGCAGATCCTGGACACACCTTGTCCATTTGGTCTCTTAATGGGTAAGATTAGAGCATTACAGGGACTAATGCATGGGATTCTGAGTCCTTAGTTAAGTCTTCTGTAGTCGGTGAGAGCTCTTCAGGAGATTCTGGTCTTGGTGAATATTGAGACAATTTAGGCAGAGGTTTGGAATGATCTATTTGGATTTCTATGGGTTCAGCACTTTTAATTTTGCCTTTGTCGGTCAGGGAAGAAGCCCATAGGCATTCAGCCACTTCTGAGAGATCGGGACTTTCACGCTTTCCAGTCTCCATTTCATCGAGTCCTGCTTGGAGAGAGGGGAGCAGCTCAGGTCATTTTTCCTCCTAGTTAAATTGTGTATGACTCCTCAGTTCAAAAGGGCAGTCTTCTCCTAACAGGTTTATGGGGGCAGTGCCACACAAAAGGAAAGTATGGTTTCCTGGAAATGGCCCTAATATCATCTGGACTGGGTTAGATACAGGTACCCTTTGAATTTGGTGAGAAATCCTTACTACAGAAGTATTTTCTTTACTCTGAAGGACTGGCTATTTTATGAAAGTGGGATTTATTGTTGATAAAGCTTATGCAGACCCACCAATACTGTGTAGGATTCTCCATTGATTTTTATCTTCGTTTCCCCTTGCTCATTTAGAGGTATCATGGGGAGCAGTTTCCTGGAGAATCCCTTGGAACTCCATCAGTGCTTATTATTTTGATAATTAAGTTTTTTAAGGCCTCCCCTGATGGAAAAATAGTGTGAATTAATAGGTAAAGGTCTATAAAACGATAGGTTCAGCAGCAGGCCTTCCTTTTTCCAGTGCCCTGGTTGTTTATAATGAAGGCAGACATTTAGGGGCTGGTTCAGTTGGTAGAACATACAACTCTTATTCTTGGGGTGGTGAGTTCAAGCCCCGTGTTGGGTGTAGAGATTACATAAAATCTTTTCTAAAAAATTCTAAATTACTCATAAAATATTCAAGGACTCCCTTTAGTGTTTGGAGAATCTTTGAATCTTCAGCCTTTGACCATGGAGAAAGGTGGTTACATCTGGTATTCCAGGCTCTACGGATGACCTCACTTTAAAAAGCATTGGTTTAACCTCTAGCTCATCTTCAGAGTGCAAAGGCAATGGAGTGAAGGGACCCACAGATTCAGAATATTTGGGGAGAGGAGGGTACAGGGAAGGAGCACTCAGACAAGTAAGTGTATACCTCTTTTTAGATTCACCACCATTGTTGCATAAGCTTTTCATTTGCCTTTTGTACAGAATCTTTTAAAGAAACATTTTTTTGATTCATTCATTTTCTTAGAAGCTTCTGCATATCAATAAAAAATGCACTCCTTTGTTTTGGGGAAATTCAGAACTTTCTTTTCTCTAGAGCACTTCATAAATGGATAAGCTCATCTAGGTTAAAAGTTCCCAATTTGACCACCATAATGCAAGAGGATCCTGGGTACGTATAGTTAGCCAGATGGAGGAGTCCCAGATTGTTTGGACTCAGAGGAACCCATTTTCTCCCCCCATCCCCCCCCCCACTTATTCCCTGAGGCCTCACTTGGTCCAGTCCAGCTTAAGTTGGACCTAGTCTGGCCCTGGACCTGGTGTGGTTTCTTCTGACTGATCCCAGGCCCAGTCTGGAAAAAGAAATGCTCAAGTAAATTCAGAGAGCTCTTTTAAATGTGGAAACTGCAGAGCTCAGTTCTTACCCGCAGCCTCCAGATGCAGTGAGAAAGCAGTGAGCTCACTGGGCTCAACAGGTATCTGCGCCTGGTTGCTCTTTGCTTCTGGGGGCCATGGCGGGCGGCGGGGAGAGATGGTTCACCTTCATATCACACTTCTGACACCAAAACTGTTGAAAGATAAACTGAGGCATGTTAATATTTTAGTCTGAGCAAAAATGGATTCCAACTGGGCAGTGCCAAACTGGAGGTAGTTAAGAGAGATCCATTGACAGGAGTTGGGGGGAAACTTTTATAGAGAAAAGGCAGAAGCAAAGTGAGGAAATAGAGCATAAGGCCTAGCTGGCTGCTTGGGATTGGTGGTCCTCAGCTTTCACTTTTGTAACCTTGAGGCATTTACAGGCTTAGATGGTTTGGTTTGGTTTAGAGCCCCATCGGTCCAATGGCCTCCTTGTTTCATTAACCTAACATGTTAGTATATGAAATCCAAGACATGGGACAAACTGAAGAAACATGAATAACTCAAAAACAGATCTCTGAGAAATTAGGTTGCTTCTGTGATCCATTTATTAATGAGGAGAAATTGTATTTTCTGGGCTTTATTTTTTCCCTCTGTAGGAGATGGAATTACATAAAGGATGTTCGCTGACTAGCCAGGTATCCTTTCTGAAGTTTAAGAATTGGGAAAGTCAGGGGCCCCTGGGTGGCTCAGTTGGTTAAGCGTCTGGGCTCTTGATCTCAGGCTCCTGAGTTCAAGCCCCAGGTTGGGCTCCATGCTGGACCTGGAGCCTACTTTAAAAAAAAAAAGAGAAGGTCAGGCTTAAGATGGAGAAAACTGCAACCTGCTCTTTTTCCCTCATGTTCCTAATTTACCATCAATGCCAACAAATATGGAGTATTTGGGAGCCTCCGTGGCATTTGCTGTCTCTGGCTCCTAAAATTCAGAGGTTGGCCTGTACAATAACCCCTGCTACTTTCATCAGACCGTACCCATGAGGAGTCCTCCACAAGCCCCAGGCTGACCCCCAAGGTGTCTCCTCTCTCGACACTGGTGAACCCTTCACTGCTGACTCCCCCACACCACCTGCCTCTCCTCTCACATGCAAGCTGCATGCAGGCCCCCCACTCAAGGCAAAGAGTAGAGCACCCAGTGAACTTCCCCAGAGGATTAGTCCCTTTGTGAGTCAGTTACCCAGATGCCTACCACCACTTCCCCTTGGGTTATTAATTGGTAAATTTGCTATCAAAAAGGAGTTTCCTTTTCTGATCTGAATGGGGTGATCAAGTGAACCCCCAAAAGGTGCACAGTTCAAGGGCTCAGATGTGAGGACTGGGATCTCCTTTGGGACTAAGGAGTCTAATGTGCAGGGCCCCCCCCCACTTCTGATACCTGCAGGAAGTTGGCACATGGCATACAGGGCCATAGAACTTCAGGGCCAAGGGCCTTAGCTACTTGAAGTTCTGCCACCCCTGGGAGTCTCGAGTGTCCTGCATGCCCTGCTGACCAGCATTCAGCCTCTTGCTGAACCCCAGGAGAGGCACACCATTCCTCCAGAGAGCACCCCCACACCAAGATCTTTCATATCATTAAAACGTTCTATGTTCAAGTTAATTTGGAGCAACTGAAATATGTAAGCACTCACGAAGTTTTTCTGAATGACTTTAGTTTTAATACATTTTAAAGATTAGTGACATACGGGTGCCTGGGTGGCTCGGCTGGTTAAGGATCCAACTCTTGATTTCCGCTCAGGTCATGATCTCAAGGTCGTGGGATGGAGCCCTGCGTCGGGGTCTGCGCTCAGCGGGGAATCTGCTTCTCTCCCTCTTCCTCTGCACGCTATCTCACTCTCTCTCTCTCTCTCAAATAGATCTTAAAACCAAAAACGATTAGTGACATAAATGGAAGCAAGCTACTCCAGCTAAGGGGAGCAGGCCATGCAGATCTGGTTGGGGGATGAGCAGAACCGGGCTCCAGGGGACTTCAGAGCCCAGAAGGGAACCTTCACATTCTTACTAAAAATAGTTATGTAAGCAAATGAGACCCTTTGTAAATTTAATTTTCTAAGTTGTGTAGCTAACTTACTAAGTTTTCCATTAGAGAAGATTGGGGTCACTTTTTTAAATTGCTTTAATGAGTCCCCTCCCTAAAATGTGTCTCTCACCATGAACCGCCCCTGCTGTCGTCACAACGACAGGCTTCTGTCCTCCGTGTTGAGCAGACACTTAATGACTTGCATGTGAAATACCAAAGACGCAAGCCTTGGGGCTGCCAGAGTCAGGGTGTGTTTCCATTGCCTTAACGAGGAACCTGGAGAAAGGCGAAGAGCTCAGTAGGCTTCAGATATGGATGTGAGATCATTGCTTCATACAAAAACGCCAGAGGTCATAAATGGTATTATTATATTAGGGGCGTGCTCCAAGTACAGCTGTCCCACCATCCTTGCAGTGACCGTGTCCATACTAAATACACGTGAAGGCAGTGGTTAATAAGAGCATGCACAACACACCTGCCCTCTTGGTTCTCCAAGCTTCATGGAAACCGCTGGGCTCTGAGAGCAGCTGTTGGTGTTCAGACCACTGTTTTATCACCTGGGCTCAACACATGCGCTGTTGGAGAGACTGTCTTGTACCCTGACAGTGATCATTTCAAAAAAATTTCCCCAAGTATCAGTCTCCTAATCTGTAGGTTATTTACGTGTACACACAGACAACCTTTAACTGTTTTTATACTGCTTCGAGGGAACCTACTTATGATACAAAGATAGTAGTAGAAGAGAGCCTTCCTCAAAACCCACATGTATTGAAAGGAAGAAAGAGAAACTTAAAAGCAATACCAAAATATTAAGGTAACTTAATATTATGGTAAGGTCATTCCGAACATAAATTAGTATCTTTTAGGCATACATTTGTGACTCTGAAAACACTGATGTGGGTTATTGAGCATAAATTTTTAATGCTTAAGATTCAAGGGGAAGAGTACAAAAGTGAGTAGCACACTGGACAAGGATAAGAACTGGTTCTGTATTCAACTCCTGGCCCTATGCCAACTAGCCATGTGACCCTGGGCAAACCACTGAAGGAAACCGAGGCCCCACTTGATAACTAACATTTGTGCATTACAGTTCTCCAAGGCTTTTTCTAGATTCTGTTCCCTCAGCCTATGAACTAGTAAAGACCACACCTCGCCCAAGTTCCCAGCAGGAATGGAGAAGAGGTGTGTATTATCCAGCTGAGATAACAAATACATTTTGTTTTTAAGTAACTCTGGGTTCTTTGTGTATTTCCCTAGGTTCACCTTCTTGTGAGCACCTTATCTTAATTACATTTCGTAATAGTCGTGTCTTTGAGGTTACGGAGCCTACTCCAGGTCTGACCACCCTCGAGAAAACCCAGAACTGCTCTAAGTGCTCTGTGCCCGTGCTCCCAGTGCCCTGGTCTCTCCAAGCTACTGACTAGTTCCTGAAGCACAATGACAATCATCTTTGAGGAGGCTGGGTCTTCTTTCCTCTCTGGAAACAGCCCGATTTGCCATTTTATGACTTCGTTGAATGGGACTTTCTAATAAATGGTGTGGCTTTTTTGAATGAACGTTTAAAAATATATGCTCACGTCTCACCAAATTGTTGATGATCTTCTTAGCCTTAGATTTGCAAATTTTATTTGCTCAGGATATAGTCAAACAGTTCTGAGTAAAAATGCAGACACAAAAAATTCCTTACTTTCTTCAACAGCCATTTCGAGGTGTAACAATTATTAATCACATGATGCCTTTTAGTTCTTAAGTGTCTAATGGAAGATTTCTTCAAAGAAATAACTCCCCACAGGAAAAGCCTTTAAGAGAGCACCCTACGAGCAGCCTAAGAGGGTGTCTCCACCTGTTTGCTTCTGCACTCTGCACTTGCTCAGAGTCCGGAGCTGGCTTTGGGAAGCTTTTGGCACGAACATTGTCACTGCCTCTTCCAGAGAAGCGGAGAGACCCCCTGGAGAACAGGGAGGTGCCTGAGACCCTGAAGCCATAGGCCAGGCTGGGGCACAGAGCATAGCCCACCGTGGAACCTGACGCCCGGGTGCCACTGCCCGGATGAGCCTCCCAGAAGCCAAACGAGCTCAAATAAGCTGCCTACTTTTATGATCTTCAGAGTCAACCAAACTGCTCACCTTATCATTGACTTCCTTGCAAAATACTGTTCGCCTACTCTTTGATGATCTAGCCCTAAATAAAAGGGAAAACATTTGTCTTAGCACATCACTAAATGTCACTATCCAAACCAGGAGTCAGAAAACAGATTCTGGTCCCAAGTTCACACTAAAGTAGCTGTGTAACCTTGAAGTCCCTTGCCTCCTGTCAGTCTTTAGTGGAACGTGGAACCTGTCCAACCCCTCTCTCAGGGCTATTGAGAAGATGTCACAGGACAATATGTGATGGTATCCAGAGCTGTGAAATGCTAGGTGATATATATATCATATATATATATTCCATATATGTATATGGATATATACATATCCATATATATATATGGAATATATGTATATGGATATATACATATCCATATATATATATTCCATATATGTATATGGATATATACATATCCATATATATATATGGAATATTCAAGAGTGAAAGGAATCATGGTATCTTTCACAGCCAAATGGGAGGGTTCAGGTATTGGAGAAAGCTAGAAATATTTAGTCAGATTACACCATAGCTTACAAGGGCTTTGCCTGACTTGTTAAGCCATTCACAATCAGTTCTATAATCATTCTGCACTCAAGACTTTAGGCAATCTCAGAAAATACCTCCCCTTGCTTTCCTCAGTAGTAACCACATTAAAATATGCAACACACTTTAATCATCATGCTTTTTTCCATGGAGGCAAGCTATAAATAGATCAGACTTTTTTTTTTTTTTTTTTAGAGAGAGAGAGTGCCTGGGGAAAGGGCAGAAGGAGAGGGAGAGAGAATCCCAAGCAGACTCCATGCTCAGCAGCACTGATCCCAACGCGGGGGTGCTGGATCCCACGAGCCAGAGATCATGACCTGAGCAGAAATCAAGAGTTAGAGGCTTAACTACTGAGCCACCCAGGCGCCCTGAGAACAGACTTTTAAAAGCATGAGCAAAGAACCAAATCAGTGGCCTAAAAGTCCGGATGACTTCCAGAAGCAGCAGGCCCTCTGAGCCAACCCTTTGCGTTCCCAGTGGATGGTGGGACGTGCGGGGGCTGTGCCGGTGGGCGCCACTCACCAGCTGGTTGATCCCGAGCTACCCGTGGGGCCTCTCTGGGCCTCCGAGTGAAACAGGTTAACCCGGGCTACTCCCGAGGTCGGGCAGAGTATGTGAACGTGCGCGCACATGGCTGCATTCAACACACGCACCACAAGAGCAGACAGACTTGAAGAAGCCAAAGGCTTCCCGCTCAGCGGCTTTGACCTTCCCTTCCCGCTGGTGAAGACATGGCGGGGGGGGGGCACTCTGTCACCTCCTAAAGGCCTCCTGTAAAGGACGTGGGAAGACAAAGATCTGGAAGTGTGCGGAGTTCCATGCGCTGAGCTTCACTTGAGACGCTGGTGGTCGCCTACGCCTGGCCCTCCCCTGCCGCACCAGGCCCTCCCCTGCCGCGCCGACCCCACGCAGCCCGGGCCCCGTGACACCCCAGAACTCACTGCCAAACAGAGGGGGACGGCAGGGAAAGAAAGCTGAGGACCTAGTGTAGGAAAGGAGATCCCAACGGCTGCTTCAACTCCCGGTGTGTGGGTTCGAGGCACCCAGGGCCCGGGGAGGTGGTCGGGGGGCAGGACCGCCACCACCACACCCGGCCAGGGAGGCCCCAGAAGTCTGGGGTTGGGAGGGGAGGGAATCGCAAGGGTGGCGGTGGCAGGTGGGTCATGATTTGGGGCCTCGGGGGATGGGGGACGGCGTGACTCAGAATACACACACTCATATGCGAGGGGCAGCCGGCTTCCTGTAGGCTCCTGGAGGTCAGAGGTTCCTGTGACTCTTCATCCGCCTCTGGCTCTGCTGTATCCACGACAAGAATGAAGGCCATTCTCAGCAATTAGACTGTCGACCTTCCAGAAAATGTCGACAGGACTCTACAGGGACGCGCTGTTATTATGAAGGGCCCCAGAGGAACCTGCAGAGAGACTTGGATCATATCGGCATAGAACTCCATCTCCTTGAGAAGAAAAAGAAGAGGCTCCAGGTTACAAATGGTGGGGAAACAGAAAGGAACTGGGTACTGTTCGCACATCTGTGCTCACGTCCAGAACGTGAGCAAGAGTGTTACACTGGCTTCTAGCAAAACGTAAGGTCTGTGCTCACTTCCCCATCAACATCATTCTACAGGAGAATGCTTCTTTTGTTGAAATCTGCCATTTCTTGGGTAAAAAATACACCTGCAGGGTATGGCTGAGGCCCGGCGTTGCTTGCTCAGTATCTCAGGCCCAAAAGATGAGTTAATTCTTGAAACGACATTGAACTTGTATCAAATTCAGCTGCTTTGATTCAGCAAGCCACAACAGTTAAAAACAAGGGTACCAGAAAGTTTGGGGATGGTATCTATGTTTCTGAAAAAGAAACAGTTCAAGAGATGGCTGATGAATAAGATTTCAATCGTCCAGCTGCAGAAGCAGCAAGATGACTGATGAGTCCTCAGACTTACCTGTGGTATCTCAAAGATGCAATAAAAGTTGTGTATTGATTGGGGAAAAAACCAAACATAGGCCTGGGTAACCTTGGACCCCCGCCCTCCAGTGCCCAGGACCAAGAAGTCCCACTGGAGAGGGCTGACAGGAGGGGCTCGCCCCGGGCTCCAGCAGCACCTGTGAGCATCGGCCCAGGCTTCCTGGGGTTTGAGGAGGTGAGCGGGGGTGGGGGGGGGCTGGGGGGGTGTTAGGTCAGTAATCAGGAGCAGGGCATTCCAGGTGGAGTGGGAGCACTGGCCGTGGGAATGCCATGGAAGGAAAGCTCCAAGTGCTGTGTGGCGGGGGAGGGGCATGGTGTTATCCAGGAGAGGGACAGGGAGGTGATGCTAAAGACACCAGGGCCAACTCAGAGGGCCTTGGACACTAAGCACAGCAGTTAGCCCTTCATGCTAAAAACACTCAGAGAGTACTTTTGTCACTCAGTCTCTCCAGCGGTTGGTAGGCGAGCTGTGATTCCATGAGGCAATTTCATTGTTCACCAAACATGCAACAGGGTGTCTTCTATTCGGTAGGATGATCTGATACATCCATGCATAAGGTATTTGGGGACTTTGACAATGTCTCCTGGAGGCTTCTTCCACCTAATAAGGGAGTCGCCCAGGTGGGGTTGGGGGAGGCATAGGAATCACCTGGTCCAACCTCCTGCCCAGGTAAATGACCTGGTCTCTATCTTACAGAGCCCCCCTCCCCCAACCCGGCCACTAGCCTTACAGTAGATTGCAGGTATGCCTGACAGATTCACCGCCAGAAAAGCAACAGTTACAGTAATTTAGTTTCCCCATCAGCCCTGGGGGAAGAGGAAGACGTGCAGGGCCAGAATGGCTCAGGGCCACTCTGATATGCTGAAATGCTGTGCAATCTCATATCCCCTGCGTACGTCCACATGGCCTGACTCAGCACGGGCATGCCCTCTGTCCCCTCCCCATCCCCCGGATGGCCTCGCTTCTCACCCCCAGAGTCGGCCAAGCTCTGTGCACATCTGGCACCTGGACCAGATTCACCAAAACCATCTCAGTAAGGATCCGGATGATGAAAAGCCCTTTCATCCTTGTTTTAGATTTTAGCCTCCAACTGCCACTTATCAGAAGTGTTTCCACGTTGTGACTTCTTTGGTTCTCCACGTCTCAAGTGGAAGGTCAGTAGGGTGCCCCCAAGGCCTCTGCCCTGGACAGGGAGGCAGTTCCCCACCATTCTCATGCTGCAGGACCCATGTGGCAGAGAGGGCCAGGTCTGCAGCCTCCCTGACTTGGAGAAGAGTGACTCTCACGAAGATATTAATGACTTAAGGGGCAACTGAGTGGCTCAGTTGGTTGAGCATCCAGCTCTTGATTTCAGCTCAGTTCATGATCTCAGGGTCCTAAAATCAAGCCCAGTTCCCCCTCCCTCCTCAGGCTCCAAGCTCAGCAGGAAGTCTGCTCAGGGTTCTCTCCCTCTGCCCCTCTCCCTGATCTCCCTCTCTCTAAATAAATAAATCTTTTTTTAAAAAACATATTAATGACTTAAGGTCACACACACAGCAGGTATGTGGTTTTCTTTTGCAGTTTTCAACAACAAAAATTAAGTCAAAATCCTTAATCACCAGGCCCGTAGGTGACTCAGTTGGCTAAGCGTCTGCTTTCGGTTCAGGTCATGATTCCAGGGTCCTGGGATCCCAGCACCGAGTTGGGCTCCCTGCTCAGTGGGGAGTCTGCTCTCCCTCTCCCTCTGTGTGCACACTCGCTCTCTCTATCAAATAAATAAAATCTTTAAAGAAAAATCCTTAATCACATGTGTTGCTATGAAGGTATGCCTCTCTGGTCATGTTCCTGCAGAGGTAGCTTTTTAGACTTATATGTAGGGCTTTTTATTTTTTCCCTGCAGCAGTCCATCTTCTCAGCATGGCCTTTAGATCTTTTGGGATTCTGATTCTCTCTTCATTTTATTGAAGTCCTGCCAGCACTAAGGCACCCAGGTGAGGGAGACAGGTGAGTTTCCCACGCCCTCATGTTACACGGTCTAACCTCCCCACCCCCCACTCCCACCCCCCTACTGCCCCTAGCTCAGGGCCAGCCTCCCTGTGAATGACTCCCTTACTCCCCAGAGCAGGAAGGTTTGCGCTAGAGAAAGAGATATTTGGACAGGGTGTGTCCTTCTTAAGAACCAGCTGCAGTTAGCCCCCTGAGGTTGGGAAGAATGTCGCAAGCAGCTTCCAACGCCCAAGGGGTGTCCCCGCGTTATGGTCTCACTGCAAACCAGGGCTCACCAAAGCTTTTGGACCCAGGACTACATCTATTTCCCGGGAGTCCCGCCTCCCACCTGCGCTCTCCTCCTCTTCATGGAGCCAGGGCCGCGAGGGTCCTGGGAGGCGCATCCTCGCCAGAACAAGCCACTGAGCAGTTACTTCTGCGGACCGAACCTTCTGGACCAAATTCCCCAGAGAGGAGTTCAGCTTCTGGGGAAACTGGCCCGGCACCCCCCGTTCCGCCCCGGGGGTGATTATCTGCGCCCCTGGGCCTGGGGTCGGGGTACGGGCGGAGGCCGCGCGGTGCTGGGCGGAGGCTGCCATCTGCTGTCGGCGGTGGCGAACTGCGCGGCGCCCGAGGCCGCAGGCGCTCTCAGACATTGGCGCCCTGCAAAAACTTAGGCTCCGAGTTTACGCTGAGCCTTAGGGTATGATTTGAGATGCCTGTCCCTGGACGGCAGGGAGAACCTCGCTGCTCTGCTCTTCCGTACCCAGGACTGTGAGGACACGGGATTTAGGCACCGTGACAGAGTAAATGCCATAATTCCATGTAATATGCCATAGTGCGTGGATAACCCCAAAATGTCAACATAGGTCATGGCCAAAGTAAAGATACGATGTAAAATTTGAGTCCAGTAAGAGAACAAGATGGAATTGAACGAGTTCATCCAGAGTTTACTCAAGTGTTTGGCAGAAGGTTTTTTTGTTTTTGTTTTTCATGGCTGCAATAATAACTTTGGAAAAGGCATTTAATGACTTTGAAATTTAAGATGGAATTGAAGCCCTGCTTCTGGACACTGACATGCAGAGTTTTGTGAGCTACAGAGTGTTGTGGGGCGGGGGCCAGCAAGAGGCGCCGGGAGGGCAGGGCGCCCTGAGAGTGCGGGGGGGGGGGGGGGGGGGGGGGGCGCGGGGGGGCGCTGGCCAGGGTTGGCTGACCTGGTCCGGAGGGGCCCCTGGCCGCGGGGTCCGCGGCTGCTGCCGACCCCCGGACCCCAGGGCCGAGCGCCTGTGTGGCCACGATCACGGATGCTCCAGGTTGTGTGTGTGAAGCTGTGTGGAAATCTACAACACTATCAATCCCGTCTTCGGAGTTCAGCGGTGCCCCGTAATGAAGTAACAGTTAATGATAGAGCCGGCCTTCCCTTGCTAATACTTACTTGGCCATCCAGAAAAGCGCGCTGTCGATTTGTGGTCAAGCCAGTGTTATCAGCAGTCGGTTCCTTCCTCCGGGACCTCCAAAAGGAAGATAAAGGTGGCAAAACTGCCCCAATCTTCACAGCAGATGGCAGTGAAATTCCAGCTTCAACCTTGATGGAAATTTTGCTAACGAATATTTTAAACTTGTCATTAAGAGGTACGGTGCCCCAAGAAAGAAAAAAACTGAACATGGAGCATGGGAAAATGGGAAATCTTTGGTTCACAGACTGTTTACAGCTTTGCGTTTAGAAGAGTTTCAGAAAAAGAGCGCCATTTACTGGAGAAACCGACCACCTGAAGGGACAGCCGCGGCCTCTCCAACAGATCAAAGCTGGAATCGTATCTTGCTCAGAAGCCAAAACCAGCAGCCGTGGGTCCATTTGGGGCCCAGTGGCCTCCCCCGCTGGGTGCACTCCTGGGATGTGATGGAACCAGGGACAAACCTCAGCACATTTGCAAATTCCATGGCCTTTTTTGCATACTTCGTAGTCACTCGACAGGATCATCCGTATCAGCTGTTAAGAGTAGGCAGTTTCTTCGCTTCCTGCATAAGAAATCAAAGCAATGACATTCCATGTGGTGCAGTACAAGTTAAAAGATTCTGCCAAGACTACAGAATCCCTCAAACAAGTGGCCACTCAATCCGTTTGTGAATGCAAGGAAAGGAACTCAAGGAAAAGAGTTAATCTTACATTTTCAAACGTCACTGAATTTTTCCAGTATGTGCTGATTCTGCAACTTAGAAACTGGAGCTTTTTGAGTCCCACAGTGCCTTTGAATTTGAGTGTTTCGATCTCTTTTGTTAATTTAAAAAAATGCTTGAAAAAAAAATGTTGTCAATTAAGTATTTCAAGGACAGGGATCATGGCTTTTTTTTTTTTTTTTGACATCTTCCCAGAATAGGAAAAATCTTAATTCAACTCCATTCAACATGCCAATAATCATTTATTGAACATATCCCAATAACACTACTTACTTCCTGTGTAAGACCTTAGGCTTCTTGTACTCTCTGTGCCTAGGTTTCATCATCTGTAAAATAGGTAATCATATCACCTACTTATAGGGTGAGGAGTAAATGATTCGTGGCACACTCAGCACCATTCTTGGCCAGACAGAGGACTCATAGGAAATGTTTCTTATTATTTTTACATCTACCACAGTTAAGTTCTGAGCTAAGTGCTGGAGTTACTCATAATAAGACATGATTCCCGTCCTCAAGAAGTTTACCATTTGAAGTAAAGATGTATACAAACAGGCATATAAGATTATCAATGATCAATGCTGTAAAAAACGTAAGAACAAGGTGCTAGGGGACAATGGACAGGAGAAATGTATTATGTCACAGGGGAAGGACACCAGAAGGCCTTACAGGAGGGGTAACATCTGAGCTAAATCTCAAAGGATGAGTTAGGATTTGGATGGAGGAAGAGAAGCAGTCTGAGCAGAAGAAATCACATGAACAACAATGCTGAGTCATCATGACAGTGTGTAGTAAATTCAGCATCAGCCAGTGGCCAGTGTGACCACAGGGTGGGAGATAGGGGTGAGGGTTGACAGGGAGGCCAGAGAAATGATCATAATCAATGGTGAGCCTCCGGTGAAGGCTTAGTTAACCAATGCCAGGCACCACGAACTGGAAGAAGATCAAGGGGCCCTATGAACCATGCTAAAAACTGATTTGTCTTACAGGCAATGAGGCACCATCAAAGCTACCTGAGCAGGTCCCTATTTGCAGAAGGATGGAGTACAAAACAGGCTCCTGGTAAACACCTGTCAGATTAAATTAAACTGGATGGCGGTAGGGTATAAATGGTGGCAAGTCCTATAGAGGTATGAAAACTACAAAATAAACTCTTAGTAATGGCATGGTTCAAATGTACTTGATACCTAGAAGGAATGAGTAGGTACATTCAAGACACATGGCTTATTTTAGAATCAGTGAAAACTATGACGCCAAGTAGGGAAGCAGTTTCTACCAAAGGTCACTGCTCTACAAAGCTTGAACATAACAAGTATGGATTTATCTTAGTATCTTATTCCTGAGGCAGCGGGGAGGAGAGTAAGCCCTGCTTTATGACAGAATGCAGTCATTCGGGGACCATGGCTGGAGGGGATGTGCAGTCCCCATTCTGGTGGTAAGGATATGGGGAAATGGTGTTTCCAGCTGAAGCCAAATCCCTAGCTTCCCAGCCTGTTAAGTGTACCTGAAGCTGGTTTTGCGCTCTCCAGCGCACTTGTAAGGTCTTGTTTGGGGACGCAAGAAGCTGTTACCTGTTTTGGGCCTATGTGCAGGGCATGCAAAAATGACATAATTGCTGCTCCAAATTCTGAAAAGCCCTAAGCGATTGGATGCATTGGCCATAATCTTGTCTTTTCCAGAGCATTATAGAATATCCAAGCTTGCAAACCAACAGAGGTGAGTATAAACCTCAAGACTTCCCCAGGGCTATCGCCAATTCGCCTATTGACAACTATGGCTAGAGAAACTTTATGCAAAGCCTAGAATGTGAGAAGGAGGACTGGTGTGGGGCAAGAGAGAAGATAGCAGGTGGGTGAAAAATCCAGTCCTGTTGGAATGCGCTCTTAGGTCCCCCAGTGCCTGGGAGAGTGGTGTGTTTAATGCCACCTAGTGGCTGGCAATAGATACACACCTCATCCTTCCCTGCAGGCTTTCTGGGGCACCTGGGGTAGGGGTAGAGGGCCAAGCCAGGAGTCAAATGGGGCCAGGAGTTGTTGTGTAAGAAAGAGCTGCTACTACAGTCCAGAGGATCTTGTCCCTGGGCACATACAAAATATGACCTTTGCTGTCTTTTGGCTTGGGATAACTTCCAACTGTGTTAACTGTGTTTCTACATTGCCTCCAAAGACACATTTTAGGCTTGGAGAAAAGCATGAGCTTTTGCTCACCCAGGGTCACTGTCGGGATTCAGTGCTTGGTATGGGTGTCATACTCAGTTACTGCACTGGCCTCTCATGAATTTCTGATCAGCGGCAAGGTCAATGAAGAAAAGGAAGTAAAAGGTGACAATAAGATAATCTGGGTGCCTGGGTGGCTTAGTGGGTTAAGCATCTGCCTTCGGCTCAGGTCATGATCCCATGGATCAAACCCCGCATCGGGCTCCTCATTTAGCAGCGAGCCTGCTTCTCCCTCTTTAAAATCTTAAAAAAAAAAAAAAAACTGGTAAAGAGAATTCCAGGGTGATACCATTTGCGCTCCTACCAGTCTTTTTTTTAAATTGAAGTATGATTTACATATGGTAGGGCTCACCCTTTGTAATGTACATCTCTGCAAAACTTAACAATGCCTACAGCTGTGTAACTACCACCACAACCAAGAGTTTCAACCAGCCCATCACCCCCCACCGAAAATTCCTCAGTATACTCTTTGTAGTCACTCACCCCAGCTTCTGGGGTGGCTATATTTTTGCCTTTTCCAAAATGTTATATCAGTGGAATTACACAGTCCGTAGTCTTTTGAATCTGCCTTCTTTCACTTAGCAAAAGGCATTTCGGGCTCATGCATGTTGTTGCTCGCAGCAGGAATTCATTCCTTTTTACTGCCAAGTAGTAGTCCCTTGTGTGGATATACCAGTCTATTTACCCAATCCCAGTTGAGGCACATTTGGGTGGTTATTTCCAGTTTGGGGCCATCATGAATAAAGCCTCTATAAACATTCTCATACAGGCTTCTATGTGAACATAAGTTTCTATTCCACTGGGTAAATACCTCGAAATGGGATTGCTGAGTTGTCTGGCTGAATGTTCAACTTAAAAGAAACTGTGGAGCTATTGTCCAATTTTCATTCCCACCAGCAACGCACAAGAGTCCCAGTTGTTCTGCTCCAAGTGCTTGGTATTGTCAGATTCATTCTGGTTTTCTGTTCTGTTTTTTTAAGTAAACTCCACACCACACGTGGGGCTCGAACTCACAACCCCAAGACCACACCCCCAGGCACCCCGTGTCAGATTTGTTTTTAATTTTTAAATTTCACACACATCCTGGGGTGCCTCGGTGGCTCAGTCAGCTGGGCGCCTGACTCTTGACTTCTGCTCTGGTTATGATCTCAGGGTCATTGTGCTGAGCATGGAGCCTGCTTGGAATTCTCTTTCTCCTGCTCCCTCTGCCCCGCCTCACCCCACTCCAACCCCACTTGCACGCACAAATGTGCGCGCTCTCTCTCTCTCCTTCAAAAATGAATGAATGAATGAATGAATGAATGAATGAATGAATTTCACAATCCTAATAGAGGTACCTCATCATAATTCTGATTTGCATTTCTCTAAAGACTAATAATGTTGCCCTTCTTTTAGTGTGCTTATTTGTACATGAATTATCTTTTTTAGTGAAGTACCTCTCCAAATCTCTTGCCCATTTTCTATTGAGTTGTTTCTTTTCTTGTCATTGAGTTATTTATTCTAGATAGAAAACCTTTATCAGAGGGACACCTGGGTGGCTCAGTCAGTTAAGCATCTGCCTTTGGCTGGGGTCATGATCCCAGTCCTGGGATCGAGTCCTGCATTGAGCTCCTTTCTCAGCAGGGAACCTGCTTCTCCCTCTGCCTGCCGCTCCGCCCTGCTTGTGCTCTCTCTCTGACAAATAAATAAATAAAATCTTCTAAAAAAAGAAAAGAAAA